AAATTTTGATGACTTGTCTGGGTGGCACATCTTGCAGTTATGGTGTGCCGAAATCCTTTAAATGCTAATAAGAAAAATAAGTTGTTATGTTGCCAGCTCTGCAGGAGGATCACAGCTTCTACCCAATCCGACAAGACTCCCGGTCCATTGTAAGTCAGGTATTATATGCTATAACACATAAACGGTATTTTTTTTATTCAGCGAACTCTATATAATCAAATTTCGTTATTTCTATTTTTTTATAGTTCCCGAGACGACACATCGACGTTGACCTGATTGAGGGGTAGCTCTAGGCCTGAGCTAAACGAAGAAGACGATGACGAAAATGAGGATGACGATGCTATTAATTTAGGAGATTAAAATATATGTTTTTATTTTTTTTATTATCAACACTTTGTAGTATTTATTGATTATTTTACTTTTAAGACTGATCTTATTATTGTGTTGACTATTTTATATCAATTTTATTGTTCTATTTTATTATTAAGTTTTCTCCAAATTTATATCTTTATTAATTAATATTATTACGCAAGTATGAAAAAAAAAAGAAAAAACTATTTGCAACGACACTATGTCGTCGCAAATATGGTATGACACGACATCGCCAACGACATAGTTGACGGAACATTCGTGACGACTTATTCGCGATGACTGTCATCGCTAATATATTAGCGATGAAATTTCAAATCTGTCATTTCAAATATATTATTTGCGGCGACCTATTTACGACGACATATCGTCATAAATATTTTATTTGCGACGACAAATCAGTTATTTGTGACGACAACATGGCGTCGCCGCAAATAAGCTTTTTGTCGTCACCTTCATAATTAATTAAGCTCCACAGGCGTAATAAAACCCATATGTCTAATTCAGCTTATAACTCTGGGAACACCCAAATTCCATATCACAACATTACTAAAAGAAAACTTTTTTGCACATAGTTATCAGGAGAAAAGAAGATAAAGAATAAGTATTTCAATCAAAGAGAGTGGGGTTTAATCACTGTCACTGATCCATCAGCCAAAAAAAAAAAAGAAAAAGAAAAAAATCACTGCCACTGATCAAGTACTTTCTTGGTTCATTTTCCTTTTTAACGTAAGGACTCTTTCATAATTAATTCTTTTAGCAGTACTACACTGTTACGTTAATTTCTTGGCCTTCCATTAAACAAAGTACACAACAATTTAGTCTTTAGATTCTTGAATCTAAGGCTTGCTTCAGTGGCATGAAGATGGCCACACAAAAGGATTTTGATCTAAAAAATTGGCAGCCACATGTAAATGATTTGTTGTCTCTTCTGCTTTGTTCGCAAATGATTTGTTGTCTCTTCTGCTCTGCTCGCAACTTCCTAGAATTTACCTTCTTCTGTGGGGAGATCTTGATCAGCTACAATTACATTAAGAAAAAGTGATTGATTAACTATGAACGGCTTTAAGTGAGACTCATTAGAACGTGGCTATTAAAGACTGAAGAGACGCCACCAAAGTTAAAAGGGCTTATATATGCATTTTTTTTTTTTTTTTTGACGCTCGATGATGAATATGCAGTTCACAACGTTCTATATAGGTTAGGCTTGGTACAATAATATTGCTAGATTCCTCTTTAATTTCACAAATATCCGCAGTCCTAATCCGACAACAATCGAAAGGCAAAAAGTAGTTGTCTCTCCTAGAGTTAAATATTTCGGAATGACTACACCAATACCATGACACGAATTATCAGCTAGCATGTGGTGGGCTTCAAAATTCGTGCTTATTTTTTTCCTCTTTTTTTTAAATGTTTTTGTTTTTTGTAAGTTAAAGATTGACAAAGTTGCCATTTATATGTACACTTTAATAGTTAAGAAAGAAAGAATTACCATCAAGGACTGTAGACTTGATTAATCTTACATGATTGATTAAGAAAGATTCAAAAATACCATCAAGGACACATCATATATGTACACTTGATTGATTAAGAAATAAAGAAATATTATCAAGGAGTTCATATATATACACTTGATTGATTAAGAAAGAAAAGAAATACCATCAATGACATTACATATGGATAATTTATTAATTAAGATAGGAAGGAATATCATCATGACCCTTATACTACATAAGTACATTTGATTAATTAATTAATCAAGAAAGAAATGCCATCAAGGACATTGCGTATGTATCCTTGGTTAATAAAGAAAGAAAGAAACACATCAAGGACATTACATATGTACACTTGATTCATTAAGATTATATATGTACGCTCGATAAATTAAGAAAGAAAAAATACCACCAAGGACCTTACATATGTACACTTGATTAATTAAGAAAGAAAGAAATACCATCAAGTTGGGTATTTCTTAGTCATTCCTAATATCACATATTGTGTACACTTAGGCCATGTTCATTTCACCGATTCGAGTTTAGAATTCGAGTTTTGCTACAGTAAAAAGCTCTCAGAAACAGTCACATCTAACTTTTTTACTACAGTAAAAAGCTCTCACACAAAATCACATCTCAACTCGAATAAGCGAAGTGAACGGACCCTTAATATTACAAGATACTACTTTGCGTCGTTTATAATATGTACATACTACATATAAAAACTCATCCATGTATGTGTATCATCCTAAATGACAGTAGGAAAGCTCATCTCATGATACTGATTTGGTAGCTCGTTTACTTTTCCGGAAAAGGAGCAAACGGAAGTAGTTAGCATAAACACTAAACCGCTGCTTTTATACCATATATGCTTTCTCAATGTTGGGTTTAAAAGGTACGCTATTGAGAAAATAAATGCTTATTCTAAAGTCTTAAAGACGTTAGATTCTTTAAAGCGACGTTTCTGGCCTAATATTTAAGCACTCCTATAGGCAAAAGATTGCCTGTAGTGATAGGGTTTACACAAATGTCACAACCATAATACTTGTATTGATGGGGTTTACACAAATGTCACAACCATAATACTTGTATTGATTTTCGGTCCAAAAAAAAAAAAAACAACACATTTGAAATACAAAAAATGCCCCTGATAGTATCATGGAAACATACCAGCAGTAGCCATCGGTGCTCATCGTAGGACAGTATCCTTCAATGGTCAATGATAGATGGTCCGCTGTGATACAAAAATTCTAATCCCCGGCCATATTATTAGTGGTAGCCTACCATGATACTATCAAGCCCAATCTATGATGACAGATCTCACTGGCCTTGCTACCGGGGTTGTCGATCTTGCTAGCATCACTTGAAGATCCGATCGTGCGCTGCCGGAGATCTCCATTGCCAGATACCTGATTGCGACGACTGTGAGACTACAAGGGTGCACAAGGAGGTGGGCCGTGCTTGCAACGGTATCCTATTGTGATACGGAGTCCGTCATGGTACGAGAAATTCTGGCAATTGGTAGTCTCCGAGCTTGAGAGAGACGGTATCCTAGCATGTGAGTAGTCACCCATAATCCTGGCGGTCACTGGCAGTGCTACTATCAGGTTTCTCACCAGAATGTTTAAATACAAAAAAAAACACCAAAACATTTATTTCTCAGTAGAATAAATGAAAAATAACAAGAAATAACAAAAAAAAAAAAAAAAAAAAACCACAAAAAAATGATATGAAGAGGGGGAAAAAAAAAAACACAAGCGGCCATGTTAATCAAGCCACATAAGTGGTTGTACGCATAATGTAAATTCCCCACTTAATTTCATCATAGGGTGTAGACTTCAAATTCCCCGCACCAAGTTTTTTTTTTTCCTTTTTTTTTTTTTTTTAAATCAAGCCACACAAGTACATATGATAAATACAATATAAACTTTAAAGAAAATATATTTCTATGTATGTGTACATGTATACAATTCTCTATGACCCCAAAACTGTTGAAAAATTATTTTTTGACTCTAAAATTATTAAAACTTTACATTTTGACTGATACTAAATACCGTATTGTATTATGATAATACAACACAATACAATAAACATTATACAATATAATACAAGCTACTAAACATGCGAATATATATTATTTAAACAAATATAAAATACTAAATATACCAAAAATATCAAAGTCCAAGAATTAGTTAAAAATCACTAATTGTTTCTAGCTAAGCCAAGAGCTCAAATATGTGAGATTTGACAAACTATTAGCTACTCCGTTGGATTCCCCCTAGTGGAATTGCTGTCCATGATGGAAAAAAAGAAAAAGATCTCCTTTTCTTTTATGAAAAGTATTAGACGATAGGAGAAGAGGGGAAGCAATTTGTCTTAGGCACATCTCCTTGTGCAAATACTATATAGAGAAGTACAGTTCATCAAATCATTTTCCAACTTGTATTTTGCTTCCGTACACTCAAGCACAAGTACTAGTCTTCACCCCTTCGACAGTCAGATGTTTGTAAAATATTCAATTGTTCTCACTGAAGCAAGAGAAGTTGACTTTGCAAATTTCTTCCTTAATTTCCTTAATTTTATTTCTTTGGATTGATAACTTTTTGCCCATTAAATTATCAAACAGCTTCATTGTTTCATCATTATGAGGATGTTACTGTAATTTTGAACATGCCATCCTTTGACATGACATTATAAACTAAAACGAAAATTCTCTAATTAGTTTATCATTATTTCTTCTCTTGTTCTCTTCTCCTTACCTAGAAAAATTAATGATTACATGTTAGATTCAGGATTGACCTAGTTGCTTGGTGCATATCTGCCTCTTTGAGAAGTTTAAAAGGTGACCAATTGCTCAATAATAATGCTATCCATTATCTTTTGACTTAAAACTCAAGTTGTCATTAATTATCTGCTCCCAGGAAACAAGAGTTGACTTTTCATATACAACAAGGAATCCAATGATCTTCTCATTTTGACTAAGTCCTAATTACCTTTTTTTCACCTTATCAAATCTTCAACTCTTCACAAAACAGAACCACCCCAAAAGAGATGAGAACATTGCATTTTTTTGTGATATTAGTCCATTTGCTTACTCTTAGTGATCTTTGCTACTCTGATAGTAATGTACAAACCACTATGCAGTGTTCAGAAGCCGATGATTCTGCGGCCGATACGACATTCCAGACCAGTCTCGGAAGCCTGTTGGATTCCCTTCTTGCCAATGGGCCTCTTGAGAAAGGCTTCTACAAAACCAAAGTTGGGAAGAAGTCGAACCGAGTCTATGGTATTGTGCAGTGTAGAGGAGACATTTCCGCTCATGCTTGCGCTAAATGCACAAAGAACTCCACCATAGCAGCCTTGGATCAGTGTCCAAAGAGCAAGGAGGTTTTAGTTTGGTTCCGGTGGTGTTTTCTTCGCTATTCGGATCATGATTTCTTTGGTGTTATGGATAAAACCTCGTTTGCTCTGAGCAATGATACCGATTTTGATGACTCGTCAGTGGTTTCGAAAGGACTAGACTTCATGAGTGGACTAACATTAACTGCTCAAAAGCAGTCTCTGGTCTTCCAAATTGGTGTTTTGGATGTTGGCACAAGTGGTAAGAGGTATGGTATGGTTCAATGCAATCGGGACATCAGCAGGACAGACTGTGGAAAGTGCCTGCAAGCTCAACTATCGGATTTTAGGACAACAATCGGAAATAAACGAGGTTGGGAAGTTTATGGTTCTAGTTGCTTTATGTGGTACCATGACTATGAGTTTTACTTCAACATTTCAACCACTGCAAGTGAAGGTTAGACTATGACATATCTTTTTAGCTACTAGACTAACCGAGTTTCATAGAAAGTAGTCGGTCTTTGATATGAAGAAAGAAATTGAAAATTTTTTGGTTTGGCCTGTGCTTATGTTATGAATGATAAGAGAAACCTGATATGTTTTTATTTGGTTTGTAAGGTGTTATGAGACCCTCTTTGCATAAAGGAGCTGCAGTTGGACTGATGATCGCGGTTATAGCGTTTTTAATGGTTCCTTAGTAGTTTGTTAATGGTTCCTTAGGTGTTATGAGACCCTCTTTGCATAAAGGAGCTGCAATTGGACAATGAAGTTAATTCGTTATATGAATTCATTCTTTGCATTACAATATAGTTTTTGATACCTAGCCTTTGTTGAAATATTCACACTGTAAAGTTTCTTATTTATTTGTTCCATTCATTATTTTCATTCGATATATATATATATATATATATCCAAAAACAATGGATGTTTTGATGATTGGAATTATTTTCTTGAAGCCAAAAGTTTTTTTTTTTAATTTTTTTTTATAAATATTATCAAAGGTAGACTGCGCTAAATGTATGTAACTGATTGAGGATTGAGGATTAAGATGGAGAAAGTTGACTATGTTTAGACGGTTCTGTTATGTTAGCTTCAATTCGATTGCATCGACAATTCCTCGCAGTTCCAAACTCAGTTCATTATTCGGATTCATAATCTCATCATCTAGCAAAACATTGCTTGCATTCAAATTCTTATCAATGATTTTTGTTATGTACAACTGTTCGAACTTCCAAGTCTAACAAATGGAGCGGATAAGGCTGCTCATTATAAGATTTGGTATCATGTACTTTAGAAGCTGAGGAAGACTTCAACCTGCGATCTTCAGAGGTTGTTGAACTCGTCGAAAGGGCAGCGAATGTGTTCTGCCGGGGCTTTTGGGGATTAACGAGAGCCGAAATGACGAGCACAATCTTGCATTTGGAAGCAAATGCCATAGTTCCATATTGACTCGTTAATGCGCTTCGGAAAACAAATGCTGTAATTCTGGGACGACAATAAAGAAGCAACAAACGACAACAATGCACAATGACATGGGCAAGAAACAAGCAACAGGAAATAAATACGACAACAAAAATGAAAGACGAACGCAGTAGTTAAACACAATATGAAAAGAGTAACGAGACATCAACTCAAATCTCAACTCTTGTGTACTAATTAATATGAAAAAGTATGACTCAGGGATTTTAGTATGATTTAACATGTACATGAATGGAAAATGAATGGTTATGCTTTACACCTGCCAAGAATTTATATGCATTGAATTAGACACATGTTATTATTGGAATTTCTGCACTATAAGAAGAAAATAATCCCTCCAGAAAAAGGAAGAAATTAATTAAAAAAACAGAGAAAAAAATAATTGATATCCAAGAATCAGGGTAGAAGACAGGTTTTCGCTAATCGGATGAGCAAATTCTTTATCAGATATTTCTTCCCGAAAAACAGCAAGAAATTTCTTTGATCTTATCACATCTAGATCCCTGTACAAATTTACATAGTGAAGCATTTGTTTATCATCTAAACAACAAATTCAGCGATTCTATTGAGTATCACTGTAAAACGAGGAAAATTATAGTAGTTATTGCAGTGGGTACACATGGCCTATTCCATGACGAAGAAGAGTCAGTATATGTTAGAGCTCTTTCAGTGTAAAATCTAGGTTGTTTAAGTTTGGGGCAGTGAAGCTAAACAAGCAGATCTTGATGTTAAAATCCTCTATTCTTCCCACTCACTATCTCTGAAACCATGACATTAGAGCCAAAGACATCGAATTTCACCGAATAATGCCCGTTAATTGCATACTATACTTTGGAGACATATAGCCACTACATACGACCAAAACAGATTTATATCAACTTGAGAAAAGAGGCTACTTGATCTGACTGAAAAAAGTTACGAATTGCAGAATTATTTTATTGTACTTACTATGTCCCAACTACTTTATTTGCATTTACTTCAGTCTGCTCATCTCCAAAATTCTTGCCAAGAAAAAGTTTGATATTTTAGGATTCATCTCACCATAAAGAGATATTACTGACTTTAAATCTCTATGAATAATCCTCAACCCCAAATCTCGATATTGAACTGCTTCTGCCAGTCTAGTGTAGTGCCCTTTGTTTGATCTCGGCTATTTTTCATGAAGTTAAACCTCATTGTACAAAACTAAACACATCACTTCGAAAAACTCTGGATTTCAAGGGTGGCTTACTTAATATATACGAGTCCAAGATTTTGTTAGACATGTACTCATAGATTAACAACCTATCTTCTTTATGAATGCAGCATCCTAAAAGTTTGACAAGATTCCGATGCTGCAGTTTCGCAATCAAGATAACTTATTCTTGAATTCCATGAGGCCTTATTCTGATTCTTCTCATATCCTTTTTACTACTACTCTTATTGCGGGGATGCCCCGGGCTTCCCCGAGGCTTTCCCGGCGATCCCCCGGGGCTATCCTTGGGCTACCCCGGGGCTATCCCGTGGCTCTCCCGGCTGCCCCGGGGATGTCCCGGGGCTGTCCCGGGGATGTCCCGGGCGTGTCCCGGGACTGACCCGTAGCTGCCTCGGGGCAGTCCCGGGGCTGACCTACGGCTACCCCGGGGCTATCCCGGGGAAGTACCGGGGCTCACCCGGGAATGTCCCGCGGCTATCCCGGGGCTGTACCGGGGCTGTCCTGGGTTTGTCCCGGGGCAGTCCCGGGCCTATACCGGGACTGCCCCGGAGCTGTCTCGGGGCTATCCCAGGGCTGTACCGGGGCTGACCCGGGGATGTCTCGTGGCAGTCCCGGGGCTGCCCCGGGGCTATCCCGGGGTTGTACTGGGGCTGTCCCGGGGCTGTATCGGGGATGTCCCGGGTTCGTACCGGGGATGTCCCGGGGCGGTCCCGGTGCTGTCCCGGGGCTGCCCCGGGGCTGTCCCGGGGCTGTCCCGGGACTGCCCCGGGCTGTCTCCGGGCTGTCCCGGGGTTGTACCGGGGCTGACCCGGGGATGTCCCGTTGCTGTCCCGGGACTGCGCCAGGGCTGTCCCGGGGCTGTACCGGGGCTATAACGAGGCTGTCGCGGGGCTAACCCAGGGCTGCCCCGGCTCTAAACCGGGGTTGTCCCGGGGCTAGCACGGGGCTGTCCCCGGCCTTCCCCAGGGTTGTCCCACGTTTGTACTGGGCTATCCTGGGGCTGTCCCGGGGTTGACCCGGGGCTGTACCAGGGCTGCCCCAGGGCTGTCCCGGGGCTGTCCCGGGGCTGACCCGGGGCTGTACCGGGGCTGCCCCGGGGCTGTCTCGGGGCTGACCCGAGGATGTCCCGGGATTGTACCGGGGCTGTCCCGGCGCTGTACCGGGGCTGTACCGGGGCTGTCCCAGGACTGTACCGGGACTATCTCTGGGCTGTACCGGGGTTGTCCAGGGGCTGTCCCAAGGCTGCTCCGGGGCTGACCCGGAGCTGTCCCGGGGCTGTACTAGGGCTGCCCCGGGGTTGTCCCGGGGCTGTACCGGGGCTACACCGGGGCTGCCCCGGGGCTGTCCCGAGGACGTCCCAGGGCTGTCCCGGGGCTACATCGGGGCTGGC